CTGGCGTCGAGCTTGTCAGCGTAGGCACGAGTGGCAGGAGTAGCATCGGACGACTTGGCCTTGCCTTTACCCTGGTTACTGGAGCGTCCAGCGTTGTTACCGGAGGTTCCAGCGGTCGCAGTGGTGGAGGAAGGCGCGGGAGTGTACCTCCAACAATGTTGCCCCAGACAGAGACATGTAACAGAATCCCTCCTGTGATTGAGCTCTGGACCAACAACTGAAGCATTACCCATACAGGTGACTCCTTCCACCAGCCTTCATTCAGGCTAAGCTCTGAAGGGCTTGGGCTTCCCATCCAGGTACTCCTCCCCATGTACATCCCTTTGGGCACTACTCTTCACAGACTGCCATTCATATTTTGCCCTTCAGATCAGTCCCTGTGGGGAATATCCTTTGGCAAATTCCACCCATGGGATCTCCTTCAGGGTCTACCCCTCAGAGGATGTCCTTCAGCAAATTCCACCTATGGGATCACATTCAAGGCCCTACCTTCACAACATCCTCTTCACAACTTTCCCTTCGCAGGGTTTTTTATCTTATCTCAGCCATCAGTGTACTCGACTGCAGTGTGTTCCTCAAGCTCTTATTGAATCTGATTATCTTGCTTAATTTGAGCTTCAACTATGACATCTCAGACACCAGCTGCAGAGGTTCTATGCCATCTTTAGAGCTATCCCTCCCTAGAACAAAATCTTACATGATCTTTGACTGGAACTCCCTTGAGACTTGTTAATTCAACTAGTCTGGGTCCCAAGTATTCAGCACTTGAAACTGGCACAGACTGTTGTCTGACTCAGGCTCCATAAAGTATATCATATAGACTGTCAACTTCAAGATTCTGCTGCCTGGATTTCACTGTTTGCTTTCCTTCCTGGGCCTTATGCAACTTGAACTTGGTATTGCATGGTATTGGCCCATTCAACATGTCCATTGGGTGAAGAATCAATTGTGTACTGTCTTCTTATATATAGTCTTGCATCGTCTTCACTGTACTTGGAACATATTTTTGGATTGGATCCTTGTGTGAAATTCACATTTGGTTCAAATTGAATTTGACTTGTATCTCACTCACAGGAAGAGCAGCAGTACGTCCATGGCTCAGGTGATACTGGCAGCAGGATTTCGAGTGGGGTGGACTGAGGATAGTGTTGTGCATGATCTTGAGCCAGCAGTGGTGAGGTGATGATGTCGATAGAGATACGGGGGATTGTGAGCAGGAGCAAGAAAAGGATGCAATAAGTACACACACCCGAACAGTGTATTTTCATGTCGGCTTGACTAGGAAAGGGCAGTGTAAAAGATTGGACCCTCTATGAAAAGGACAGTGGACATCAACCTTCCAAACCAAAGTCTCCTCTGCATCAGTCTCGATCTCACCAACTTCACAGCCGTCCATTGAGGAGCTGCGACACATGCTCTGTGTCGGGGTTATGTGTCAGGAGCTTGCCATAGGCGTGGTGCAAGAGTTCCAGTGAGAACTTGAGAGTGTTGAGAAAAGACTTTAAAATGCTTGAGGATTCAGAAGAACGTGCAAGCCCAAAAGAAGCTGAGAGCTCGAGATCTTGAGGATCTTGCTATATGTCCCCCCAAGATCAGACCAGAGCTTGAGGAAGGGCCACAAAGAACACTTTCGACGCTGGCACGACCCTTGTGCACATTGGGATGGGTTTTAAGATGGTGGGGTGTGACAACATGGGAGAGGAAGAAAGCAACGTGGCGGTTAGTTGCCATCACTTCAAAATCACGCCAAATTGACTCACTCATATGATGGCGGAGTTTGAATGACTTTGAAGAAATTTTGACACTTTGTTCTTCTCAAGCCAGGAGCGTGCCACTGAACAGCCATCTGAATGAGAGCCTGCTCCCATCTGGTGTTGAAGGTCAAGGCAAGAAAGAGGAACGGTTGAACGGGGTGGAGATGATGATGGTTGATGCAGAGTTGGTGTTGTTTGGCAAAACCTTTGTCTATCTTGCCACGTGTGCTGTTGTGTTGCATCGCGCTGTGATTCGGACTATGGTGCTACTGCTGGAAAGTCGGTTTGTTGCTTGGCAGACTCAGCAGTTCGTCCTCTAGGGGGAAATTTGTGTGCCTGAAGTCTCTCGACGGCTGTGGAATTTGTGTTTTATAAATGTGGTGGTGTACAAGCTACTCCGTCTCGCAACAGAGGAATCCTAAGGTCGCTGATTCCTTCCCTGTGGGAGAGAAAAGCCTTCCAGTAATGCTGATTTTCTGTTCTACACTCGAGAACGAGAGAGGTCGGCCCCAATGCGATGCGGAGGGAAGCGCTGGCACTAGTCTTAGGTATGTTGGTCTTGTTTTTTAAGTCTCCGCCGTCATAATCCCGACTTCAGAGTGTTACCAAACACAAATGTAGGGCAGGTCCGTTGCAATTGTCGCTATTCCACACAATCCCTCTCTGCTTTGTTCCTTTCTTCTGCCTCTACAGAGAATTCCCTTTTTTCCGTCAAAGAGTCTGCTCCTTTGAAAGCTCTTGAATGGTGTGCTGCCGTTCTCCTGCTCTACTGTAGAACCAGGTGTCCCGACGGGGTTTTAACGGCTACACACAGATACGATGGAGTCGTCTGTGGCATCGTTTGTAGTGGGAGTTCTGTTCCGCTCGGGCCTATGCAGCGACGGAGGAGGTGAATATCAAATATGGGTGGGGTATAAGTGTCTCCGCTGCGAGGAAATGGCAGTAGAGTGAGGCGGAAGGGAAGGAAAGGTGTTCCCTTTGGTCTCGGTGACCTTAGGTTCTTTGTGTTGACTGTTCCCTTCTGTTCTAGAGCAGTTTTAAATGCCTAGATTGCAAGGGGAGAACTAGATATTCTTACTGAAGTGTCTACACCCTATTTATACCCTGGCGGAGCCCATACACAGCCTGCCCGGAGTATTGTTAGCTCTCCGCCATCATTCCTCTCCACACGGTGGGTCTCTGCCTGCCTTGCGGACTCCGCTTTCCTGATTTCTACCGGGCCTTGAGACGCACGTTCTCGCACGCCTGTCATAGTCCTTCGCTCGCAGGCGGAGGGATGAAAATCCTCAGCGGAGTGCATTTTTCCCACTCCGCCTCTCCTGATTCGTCCCATTTTGGATATTGTTGTTGACCATCACGTATCACATCTGGTTTGGGAAGTTTGTGGTTTCAAAAAATGACCATGGTTCAGTGTTTCTTCCTTGAAGCCAGGGCTCCGCCGTACTAGGTCATATGGATGACAAGGCAGAGTCCCGAAGTAACGGTACTTGTGTGCCTGACCACATTGTTTCCATTCGATGGGGAGGGAGCTCTTATCCAACGAGAGCTGCAGCGCAGTGTCCATGGCGATGAGTTCCTTCGGGCGGAAGCCCTTCCCGGTGGAATCGGACAGCGGACCTGCACTAATCTTGACGTGAGCGCGTTTCCAGGCGGAGGCGCGATTGTGCCGGCGGAGCATGCATATTCATTCCTCTACAGCTTTTCCATGCTTTTCATCGTCCGCTGAAAACGCTAACTCTCAGGTATGTGTGAATGCGAAATATGAAATGCTAATGCAGCAGAACTATGAACTCTAAACCACACACAACACACAACACTATCAACAACTAACCCCTCAATAGAGAGAGTCAGAGTGCAAGTTCGGGGGTGTAAGTCAAGTATTAGACTTGATAGCAGCTGGTTTCTCGGTCGATCACTTAGTTAACTAAGGGTCGCTCACGCTTTTGCAAGGTTTGACTGGTCAAGTCAAGTTGTATTGGACAAGTAACGTCTAGGACGCCAAGGAGACAGTATAGGGTAGGTTTTAAGACCGTTAAGTCTGCGCTTTTTGTGTCTTTCGACGGTTTCAGTGTTCTGTTCAATGTTCTGGGTCTGTTTGCCATGTTCTGACTATTGCCGTGTTCTGATTCTGAGTCTGGTATACAATTCGTTCAAGGCAATCTAACCTCCACGGCTATCAGAGCGATGGTTCCAGTGGCTGACACAACGTGTACAGCGCCCCTAGATGTGCTACCTTGCCCTCTTCTTCTGCTGCCCTTTTATACTACTGCCCTATGGTTTACATCACGATGATTACTGTACAATGTCCGTTGGTTCGCGGCACCCGAATCCTGATCCCTGGCTCCTGATTGGTCGTGTCTTGTTGAGACATATGGTAGACATGTGGTGTTTGACACAACACATGTGATTGCTGATTAAGTGGATAGAAAGTGTCTTCTTCGTCTGTAGCCTCTCGTCCCGGGCCTGATTAGTCTTGAAGCTCATGCACCTCTCTTCTACCTTTCCAATGATACCCCATAGTCCCTGGTTTGGTTTGGTGGTTCATCCACAATATCACAATCTCTCTCTCTGTCTCTGGTTTATCCTCGCAGCTAAACGGCTGGATCATGTCCTACTGTTCAAGTCATCCCCAGACTCGGTCTGGACCCAATGCATGATCAAACGTGTCCTCAGCTTTGGGTAAAACAGGTCTAAATAGTCTTGTCGTGAATAATTGGGTTCTTCCCACTGTTGCCTGCCAGCAATTGGTATATTGACCTCGCAACCTCTTTGGTATGCTGTTTGTGTCCTAGCAAGCAGCCTTAGGCCTTGTATGTCCTAGTTTCTCTGCCACCATCGTCAAGTTTCCTTACTTAACTAAGATATCTGGTGGCCCCATTTGTGAAGGTACCGGTAGAAGTCCTCGTTAGCCTCGTAGCTTGTGCTAATAGACTGGACCACTCAGTCAGAGTGCCCTGATGGTCCCTCAGTGCGTGTTGACACGCTGAATCGTGCAAAATCGCAAAATTCATGTGTACTTGATTTCATGGCTTATCACCGCGGAGTAGGTTGTTCGAAGGCGGATGTTGATCTAACAGTGTTTCCATGCTTTTCATTGTCGGCAGAGTGGGTTATTCGAAGGCGGATGTCGATCTAACAGTGTTTCCATGCTTTTCGTTGTCGGCAGAGCTTTAGAAAGACGCTCGTGCCCATCGGTATATCGGTGCTGTAGTATAGGGTAATGCACCGTGAACTTCTGCGCCCATCGGCGCTGTAGCATGTGGTGTTGCACCACGGTTTACTTGAAGGACAACATATTGTTGTCGCGGATGTCCTGGGTTCGACTCCCGGTGGTGCCGTTCCTTTTTAATGCATTATGGGTCGTAAAGAATTATCACTGCTGCTTCTCCGCCAGTCGTTCCGCCATGAGGGATATTACGAGTTTCCGGAGTCGGCGCATGGACCCAGCTCACAGCGTCTGTCACCCCCACCCGCCCTTCTCACACCGTGAACAAATTTCACCCCCAGGTGTGAAAATCTGGCCACAGCCCGTCAATAGCTGGCATGGGAATGCAGCGGTTATCCCTGACAATTGAAGGAGCCAAAAATGATGGACTAAGGACTTACCGAAAAAGAGAATGATCTGAAACAGAAAGCCTGGAAGTATACTCTTGAGGTAGTAGGACTGGAAGGAAAAGTCTGGAAGTATACTCTTGAAGTAATGTTCTTGAAGGGAAGCCCTTGAAGTACTACCATTGAAACGAAGCCCTTGAGGCACTACCATTGAAGTAAAACCCTTGAAGTCATGCCCTTGGAGTCATACCCTTGAAGAGGCCCTTCTGGAGTGGAAGTGGCCAAGGTGAATGGCTGAAGAGGAATCCATGGGCAGCTATATCTGTGACCCATTCCCTTGAAGGCCAAACGTTCAGTGGAAGGACCAGAAGGGACTTGCTGGATGTAACCCTGCAGAAAACTTTATCTACTTGAATTCCTTTAGAGGGCAAACTGTGAAGCAAATACGCCCCACAGCAAAGTCTTCATAGCTTACTGTTCGCGAAATGGCATCCGTGGGTTTGCCTGAAGATGAAATACTGAAAGAGATTGGTTGCGGCTCATATAATGGACTACATGTTATGAAAGAAATGGCCTTCAGGGAAACCCCTGAAGGATCTCTCACACAGGTTGTCCCGCATCATCCTGGATCATTCCAGTGGTTCCATTGTTCTCTGTGAAAAGGCTTCGGCATCCTCTACAACACATCCAAGTCGCGTTAATGGGCTGATCCCTCTTACATAATAACACAGGCCGCTGGGTATCAAGCACGGTAACCAATAGACTGTATCATGCAAGGTACAAGCACTGATAAAGTGTCTGTCTAGAGAGACTAGAACACATTTCAATTGATAGTGTCAACCCTTACAGATGCTTTAGACACGTCATGGGCAATCCCTGGTACACTGGTTGTTAGTGCTCTTGGTGTATGCTACCTGATAGTATTCCGGTGTGTCCCCTACCTCCTGGACCCACCCTCTCATGGCTCAGAGTCAGTGGTAAAGACACTATCAAGATGCCCCAGTCATATGCTTGGCTGACGTGGGCAGATTGGCAGGAAAAAATTGGTCAGTAGTTTCTGTTCGCATACAGTGCCAGTATATCTCAGTTCTAATGGAGGGGACATGATATATGTATGTCAATGTTTTTCGGAATCCAATCTAGATAGTCAACTCTGCGGAGGTGGCTTTCGATCTGCTTGAAAAGAAGAGCATAATTTACTCATCAAAGTCCATCAGAACCATGTAGGCCAAAGTGCGTGTTGACACTCCCTGCCATTGTCTTGCTCTCCATTTTTTTTGCAATTGTATGAGTTTCTCGTGGCTCTTCTCTGATCTTCCCTATGATACAAGAAACACTGTACCATGTTCCGCACTCATTTCCAAGCGAAGGTGATACCCAAGTACAACCCCACACTTGTTGACAGTGCACACACACTCCTTCACAACCTTTTGCAAACACCGGAGAACTTGATACAGACTGTTCGTTCTTTTTCCATGTAATATGTTTAAGTATATCAATTCAATCACCTGTTTTAGACCCTCGCTATACTTCTCTCATTCTTCCTTGCCATGGTCATCCACCCAGAAATCCAGGAGCATGCATTCACCAAAATCTCTACCATGATCCCCAATTGGTGACTGTCTCCCATCTTTCGAGGGCCAGGCAAAGCTCCCATACAGAAATTGCATTGTGCAGGAGTGCCTTCATTGGAACCCTGTCGGCAACATCGTGCTTGCCCATTACCTGACGGAAGACTATGAGTACCAAGACTGGTGCATGGCGAAGGGCACAACGGTAACGGCGAACATCTGGTCGATGCTGCACACCATCCATCTGTGGAGTCTGACCATCCTTGTTATTTTACTTACTCAAAGTTTCAGCACTACCTTGACCCGTCAACCTTCAATCCCAACCGGTACACAAACTGATGGTGTCAACCCACTTCCCGACCTTGCGTATGACTTTGGCCGTAGGTTGGAGAACTCCGCCGCTCCACTCGGTTCCCTGCTAATTCAATCTCTCACGGTTTGCCCTGGCCGCTTCTTGGCAACGGACACTGTCTGGATTGTTGCTGTCTCGGTTACTGCAGGCTATAACATTCTCAAACTTCTCGCTGCCTCCAAGTCGGGGAAGGAGGTCACACCTGAGGTGGCGTACACATCTGGGTTGTTTAGGTCAACTGTTTCTATCCATACCGCCATCTGTTTTAATTGTTTCACAGTTGTCCAAAGCCTTTCGGCTACTGCCTTGTCTTTGAGGTCGGAGACGACTGCCGCTCTTATCAGTGTGAATGCGTGAGCTGCCTGCTTTCCATACATATGCAATAGTACCTGCTTTTGTTGAAGTTTATTTTGAACTATACCATATAATGTCTGAAAACAGACCGATCCTCCAACCTTTCAAAAGCTTTCTTATACGCTCTTCAATTTTTTGCCTTATTTGTATGGTGGAGTAGTATTATTTTAGCTCCCCTTCTGTCCATGACTTTGATCATGGGCGATGACTTTGTGCATTCCGGCCAGATTGCTCTCAGCACATGGTAGTGAGTGTATTCATGTCTTTTCTATGGCCTCAAATATTTTCAGATTTTTTTGACTTGTGGTGTAGAAGATATAAACCTTCCGATGATGGAACCACATGTGGAATCGTGTTTTGGTGCGTGGGAAAAGTCCATAAAAAATGGTCTTTTTCATTTTCTTTGTACGATGTAGTTCAATAATTGAGCCTAAAACTGGGTGACTTCCCGTAAGGTAGATTTATCCCTACAGAATATTTCGGGGCAATCCCGGGGCGGCTGCCAGGACCCCATCAATTGGATCACCCACAAATGAACCGATTTTATCCTGAATGACCCCAATAGATTAAATTTCTGGTAGCTACCCCCCTCCTGGACAGTGTTGTCACTGACCCCGTCTGACGGGGTCAGATAGCCGCCGCCAGATAAAAGTCAGTGACAGAGCGGTCAATCACTGACCCCTCTGACCTCTATTTCCTATTTGGGATCCACCCCCCATTTCTCCGAGATATCGGCCTCAAACTGGCCTCAAACCACATCTAATTGGCTCTAAAAGTATCTAGACGACATTGTATCGTTCTTGGGCATGAAACCGAGTATTTTACGCATTATGTATGCATACCTTCTGAGTCTGACTGCGCAGCAGCGGCTGCAGCGCCGTCCAACGATGGATCCAGAGTAAGAGCTGATCCTTCATCATCTACCAGGGACTCCTCTTCAACATCCAAGCTATCCCTTCCACCTTGCCAGAAAAATTCGAAGTCCTCCGCCGGGGAACCGGGCTCGGGTATTTGAATAAATCCGCGAGCTTGATCTTCTTGTATGCTGGGACACGGTTGTCATTGTCGGATACTGTTTCAGCGGCTGTAGGGGTCGGGGGAGGAGGAGGAGACACTAAGGGGGTGACAGAAGGCATGTCTGCTTCCTCTTCATCGTCATTGTCATCGCCTGTCTCGTTTCGGGCAAGGCCGATGAGCGTGTCAGCCATCTCGTCGAAATCGGCGGCATCTACACCATTGATTGCTGATTCTTCACCTTCATCATTGGCAAGGCTGAAGTGTCTCGCCTTCCTCTCCTTTACAAGACCCGCAGCAGCATGGGATTTCTGACAATCCATTCGGACTATGGTCGAATCGTGAACTTTGCCGGGGTCAAGTGCCTGGTATGAGTGATGCCAAACACGCTGAATGCGCGTTCCGGTCCCGCGGAGTTCGGTAGCATACTGAGGACGTGAATTGCAAGCTTGACGAATCTGCTGCGGCCTGTTAGCGCAGTGCCACCCATCTGTTTCTAAATCCATATCAAGTCAATGTTTGTTTTCTGCAACATGAATTTAGTGCTCCACACGACCGATAGACCAATAACGAACTCACCGCAGCTCTGTACAACTGTGCATGACCTTCTAACCACATGGACTCTCGAGAGAACTGCCTGGTACCGTCATAATATTCACGGAATGCATTGAGGAATTCGATGTCACCCACTGCGGTCTGACCGAGGAGGCGCTCAAATGCACGTCGAACAAGATGAAATATGGAGTTTGCAGTCAAAGCATCGTGATTGAAGGATCGTGCGTGAATATATGGGTTAAAGAACACACCCAAAATCATCAAATGCTGATCTGTTTTGCCCCACCTGCGTTCCAGGCTTTCATGTAACGTCTTCGGCAGCTAAGTTGTTAAAAATACGGAATAGATTTGCAAGGGTGAGTAGGACGGTGTCAAGGCGGCAGTGTGGGGATTGCAGTACATTGGCTGCGATTGCCAGAGGTTCGAGATGTGTTACGATGCTGCAACGAGAACAATCAGTAAATGTGTTGATGTATGATTCTACGTATCCACATACCGCGTGATGTTTTTCCAGAAACCATTCTGCTTACACGTCTCTATTATGACCTCGGCGGCGGCAATCTGCTCTGGTTTCCTTCCTGCGCAGACACGTAAAGTGTCCTCGTGGGTTACGACACATGCCCAGATCGCTCTTTCAACTTTCTTCAGACATTGTAGGGAACAATAATGAGCGGTCCACCGCGTGATGACAGGGAGGATGAGGTGAAGAACGACGAGGAAGATGATCTTTTGTTGAGCGCGGAGAAGGTCAAGAGCCTTGCCATGATTATTAAACCACTTGACGACCTCGAGAACTTGTTTGGTGTCCTTCATCCATGGCGCCTTTATTGCGAGATAATTGCCAGTCATAAGACTGCTCTGGTGTGCCCAGCATTCGAAGACGGCAATGGAAGGTCTCCACTGCAAGAGCAAACGACGTGCCTTTTTGCCGTCTAGGCCA